CCTAAGTTTAAGTTCGGAGGATAGCCCTTTAACTTTGTTATTCTGATTGTTAGCCTTGTGCCACGTGTGTTTCTGTTTTGTTTTCTTTTATTTTATCTAACGATCGTCCACCAGTGTCACTGTTATGCTCATATTTGTCAGTTTGTTTTCTCTTATTTGGAAATCATTTCATTTATGTTTTTGGATTTATGTTTGGTTTTGTCAGAACTTAAAGATACTTCACTTTATGAATAAATTAAATAATCCTGCCTAATTCCTAATTACAAGATTATATTATCTTGGGTTCTGGGGCCAAATATTTTCACACTTTCCCCACCAACAGCATGTAAAGAAAAGGACTAAATACGGGTTTGTGGAAACGGGTATTTTGACCCAAATGGTTGTTATCACAGCCTATTTGTAAACCACAGCTCATTTTGCCAATCCCCTTTTAACTCCTTTAATAACAGAATAATGTTATAGAAAATGCCAGTGTAACAGAATATCCATGACTGAAATTAATCAATGCAATAATTTCAAAATAGTAGTAGTTACTGTTGGACAAGCCAGATTTCGTATGTGTGTTCTGACCGAATAGAAAATGTAAGAGAACATATTAAGCTAGGGCGACAGTGTGTTTCATACATCTGGTCTTGTTTAGGACTCAAAGAAGTAAAGGTGAACACAGACAAAGAAGAGTTCAGACACGTGTCATCTCCACATTGAAGGTTGACTGTAATGGATCTGCAACTCCTGTCTCTTGCCCTGGCTGTGTAAAAAAATGTCAAATAATGAATGAACTTGCAATATGAAATTATTAACACTGCAACATGGAGTGGCTTGTTTCATTATAGCAGAAGATATCTCTTCTGTACAACAAATACCTGATGATTCAGTATTATTTACTATACTGCAAGAACTATGAAAGAACTGAACTCTCAGTGAATGTATGATCTGCTGCAATAACCCTATGGCAGTAGGGAGTACATGGCTCTAGTGAACTACAGGAAATTTTATACATCTTGGTCTATGAGATGTAAAATAAATCTTAAGACAGAATAATGACTCCCAGATCATTATGAGTTGGATTTTCTTCACAGAGGTTAAAGGTAGAGTTCATGTTGGTTAACAACATGTCATCTGTGTGCATTCTCATGCTTGGCTGTAATCTTTACTCCCAATTCTCGTATTATTATCAGTGATGTGGATACATTGCTTCTAAAATTCTTAAAATGCCCTATCTCTCTAAGGATAATGACAAAGTCTGCGTGATCCATAGGCCGGTCATCTTCATTCTAGCCACATGAAAGCTTGTGTCACCTCTATCAACATGCTGCTGGTAGTCATGGAGAAGGCAATACTTGCTTCTTGAACTGTTCTGCCTAAAGAGCGAGCTGTAAATGTCCATACACTCTTATGTCCTCGTATAACGGACCTGTCTGTGAAGATCACCACATCTATCTCATCTGATTTGACACTGATTAGCGCACATATCTCGGCATTGATCTCTATATACAACAATAAGAAAGACAAACACTGTTCTTTGGCCACATAATGAAAAGAGCGACATTGCAGAACATCGTGACAACTGGAAAGATCAATGGAAAAAAGGTGTAGAGGCAGACCAAGAGAGATGATGCTGGATGTGCTGAAACGATGGCATGGAGAGATGTCATCAATAGAGCTGTTTCAGGTAACCAGGCTACATGATGATGATGATCTAATTCTTCTAGTTATGGCAATCTTGTTAGGGAGACAGTTTGTCTACTCTTTGTCTCCCCACAATGATTTTCTAAAATGCACTTGGGGATTGATATGCATAAATATCCATGATTGAAATAGACAGGGGAAAAAACCCACTATATATCCCATCAATAATCTGTATAATTTGAACAGGATATTGTTGTTTAAATTACTACTGCTACTTGTGTAATTAAAGCTGCTGTCATCTATTTCTTGATATTATCTTCTCTATCGTAATAATTTCCAGTTGTCAGACATTTCTAGCTAGATGATGCAATAATGTATTTGGATGGTTCTGTTCATCGTGGTGAAAGATCTGGCTGGGGATTTTCAGCTCAAGTGAATTAAAAGTTTGTGGCTAAACAAAATGGTGCTTTTCTTCATCTACAACTTCAGGCATAAGGATGGAAGTGGAGGCAATCACTGCAGCGATGAAATGAGTAGCAGAAAATTGAGTAACCAGATAGTGACAGATTCACAGCCAGTACCTCAGAAGTTTGAGAATGGTCAAATGTCATATGAGTGGATACCAAGTCACAGCACATCAACATTACAGGGACTTATGTAGATAAACAGTCTGGGATACGAAGGAGTATGAGGAAGTGAATGAACCTATTTTCTGGCGACAAAAGTGGTAGCTACAGGAACACTCGTACTGGACAAACGAAACATTCTGGAGACCATTTATAAAGGAATACTGATTGAAAACCTGAAGTTAAATGAAATATCTCCTGTAAGAATGTGTGTATCCTCTTCTAAAAGCCGGGGGTATTTTGCACATGGTGGCTGAAGAGAACTGTGATGGAGGGTGCAGGATCTGGAAAACAAGAGAGGCTAATCTGCATGAACGCACACACACACTCACACACACACACGCATGTTAGGTCTATAAATCCATAAGGGTAAGGCAAAGATAGTGAGAATAAACCAGGCAAAAAGTAACCTAGTTTCTCTTAATGGTATCCCACTCCAGAATGTGGATTCGTACACCTATTTCTGCAGTAATATATATATAACGATAGAGGAACTGGTAGAGGTGTTAGAATATGAATACAAAATACAAGAGGGGCATTCAAAGCATTAGGAAATTTTCGGAGGTGAAAATTAATTAAAACACCTGCACTAGAAATTTTTAATTCTGTTAAATCAGTACTGCTCTTTGGAGTGGAAACAGGGAGAGTAACTAAAACAATTACAAATAAACTACAATTTCATTAAACTGGTGCTTGTGCAGAATAGAAGGAATTAAAGTGGTTCACTAAAAACACTAATGGTGAGCTGGAGAGGACATGCAATAACGAAGGATAGAATGACTTGGCGTGAGTTGGTTAAGTGCCTATGCTCCATTGGGTGATAGAAAGGCAGAAGAAAAAGAATGTTGAGCTTTGGGAGAGAACTAAACCAATTCCAGGGAATACAAAGGAGAAGAAAAGTTGCTGACATTGGATAGGACACATGCTGAAGAAACCTGAAAACATTATAACTAGAATGTCTTTGCACTGGAACCCAAAGTGCATTGAACTAAAACAACCCCGCCCCCAACCAAAAATGCAGAAGGGAGCTCAACATTGAAGTTAAAAAGATTGACAGGACTTGTGGTGAGATGCATGCAATAGTAAAAGATAAGATGGGTTGGTTGATGTTCCACTGGGGAAAAAAGGCCAAAAAAAAAAAAAAAAAATCGACACACACACACACACAGTGGTACCTCAGAAATAAAATGCCTCAAAACTTGAATTTGGAATCTAAACATAATTTTCAAGCAATTTGTTTTGCTTGAGAGCTTGAACACCACCTTAGAAACCAGACACCTGGCACATGGCGATCATGCAGTTGTGCTGCAAGAGCTTTCAGCACCTTCACCAACAGGTGGGGAGAATAGATTGCAGAAGAGATTACTTCCAAGAAGCATGAAAAAAAAGCTGGAGGGATTAGCACTGCTGGTGAAAATACAAAATTTTTTTGAGAGATGGCACCCTTGTTATCAGACGTGTTAACTTATTGAATAATAACATCATTGAACATCCTAGATAAAATTACAAGTGATTGATAACACTGGAGCATTTTGAAATGCTGGCTCTCAACACAAACTTTGACCCCAAACTTTCTACAAGTAGTAAACAACTTTGATATGAAACAACATGAAAAGATTCCTGATGTTATAGTGGAAGAGGTCTCACTTTCCAAAAAGTAACCCTTCTTAATACCCTTTCCTCCTATATTCTGTGTCACAGTTTTGATCAAGATAAGTAAATACAAATATTATTATTACCCCCCGTGTGGGTTCCGGGGCCCTTTTGTGGGGAAAACAAGAATAGACCCACTGCCTTCCCAAAAGCATGTCGTAAGAGTCGACTAATTGAAGTCGGAGTGCATCTGTCTGAGAGGCAAGGAACCAGCAGTCTGCATTCAGTTGAATCAGATCTGTAAAACTGATGCACACGCAACACTCAGGTTCTGGAGCAGGACTGCAGTCCAGAAGTGGACGAACAACCAGAACTTTACACCAGAGTGTACAGCTGGTGAACGCGAAGAAGAAGAAGAAATATTACAATTTTTTCCTATATAAACAGTGTACTGTAATTGGGAAAATACATTTTAAAATTTGACATTGTTGGACCCTAGATAACTTATTGAGAGTCGCCATGACATAGCGACTAGACACAGATTGGAAGGTTGTGGGTTCGCTCCCTGGTGAAGCCAGACTTTTTAAAAAAAATGACCTTGACTTCCAGGTCAACCTAGCTATGAGTGGGTACCTGGTGCAGTCCAGGGAAGTAAAGGTGGCTGGCATGATGCTGACCACATCACCCATATTTTGCAAATTGGTCTTTAAAAAAAATAGGTCTAGCCCTATATGCCTAAAGGTGTGGAAAAGGGACCTTTACCAGATAACTTTTAAGAGTTTATTATTTTCAATTGCAACAGTTGTCTTGAACACAGACAATCTGAAATTTGTACGCTTTCTCAGGACGGAGTATGTCAAATTCTGACATACCGTTGTATATGTGTGTGAGTGTATATGTGTATTGTAAGTAAAGTAAATATTTCATTGCAGTAGCTAACCCATATTTACTGTGTGTGTTTCAGAATCAGTTACCTGCTCCCAAAATGCTTCTTCCCTCCCTATACAAGAACATTCACAAATGGAGAAGATGATGTTTGGTAACTTGGACTTCAGTTTTGTTAAACAAGAACTTTCAGATGTTTTATGTGAGGACAAGAACCAAATGTTGATCACAGTGGTGGATGAGACAGGCTGTAGCAGGAATCAGGAGATGACAGGACAAAATAACACAGTACCAGGGTTGACTAATAGTAGTAATACAACATTGCTAGAGCACAAATATTGGAGTCAAGTTTCACAAAACAAAGCCCCACTGATTGGAATTAGCACAGAATTTTCTTTGACAAGTAATAATTGTCAATTTAAACAAAGCATAGAAGAAAAAATTGAGGACAAACCAAACTTGTCTCATATTTGTGTTTCATCTGTCAATGATGCCCACTGTTTAAACAGACACAAAAGGAAACATACAGAAGACAAACCTTATAAGCCTAGAGTATGTCGTGCATCATTTTCTTATACTTCCAGCCTGAAGCCATGCAAGAGCACATATAGAGAGAAGAAATCTTACAAATGTGATGATTGTGGTGAATCCTTTTCTGAATCTGACAATCTAATAACACACCTGACAACACATACAGAAGAGAAACCTTACAAGTGTGATGACTGTGGTGCATCTTTTACACAATCTGGCAGTCTGAAGATTCACAAGAGAACACATACAAAAGAGAAACATTTTAAGTGTGAAGATTGTGGTGCATCATTTTCTTATTCTGACCATCTGAAAAATCACAAGAGAACACATGCAAAAGAGAAACCTTACCAGTGTGGTGAATGTGGTGCATCTTTTACTCACTCTCACAGTCTAAAGATTCACAAAAGAAAACACACAGGAGAGAAACCTTACAAATGTGATGAATGTGGTGCATCTTTTACTCAGTCTCACAGTCTAAGGATTCACAAGAGAACACATACAGGAGAGAAACCTTACAAATGTGAAGATTGTGGTGCATCTTTTGCTAAATCTGGCAATCTAATGACACACAAGAGAACACACACAGGAGAGAAACCTTACAAATGTGAAGATTGTGGTGCATCTTTTGCTAAATCTGGCAATCTAATGACACACAAGAGAACACACACAGGAGAGAAACCTTACAAATGTGAAGATTGTGGTGCATCATATTCTCAATCCAACCATCTGAAAAATCACATGAGAACACATACAAGAGAGAAACTTTTTAAATGTGAATATTGTGATGTATCATTTTCTAAATCTGACCATCTGAAAAATCACAAGAGAACACATACAAGAGAGAAACCTTACCAATGTAATGAATGTGGTGCATCTTTTATTCAATCTGGCAGTCTAAGGATTCACAAGAGAACACATACAGGAGAGAAACCTTACAAGTGTGATTTGTGTAATGCATCTTTTACCATATTTGGCACTCTAAAGACACACAAGAGAACACACACAGGAGAGAAACATTACAAATGTGAAGATTGTGGTGCATCATTTTCTAAATCTGACCATCTGAAAAATCACAAGAGAACACATACAAGAGAGAAACCTTACCAATGTAATGAATGTGGTGCATCTTTTACTCATTCTGGCAGTCTAAGGATTCACAAGAGAACACACACAGGTGAGAAACCTTACACATGTGATGAATGTGGTGCATCTTTTACTCAATCTCACTGTCTAAGGATTCACAAGAGAACACATACAGGAGAGAAACCTTACAAATGTGAAGATTGTGGTGCATCTTTTGCTCAATCTGGCAATCTAATGACACACAAGAGAACACACACAGGAGAGAAACCTTACAAATGTGATGAATGTTGTGCATCTTTTACTAAATCTGGCAATCTAAAGACACACAAGAGAACACACACAGGAGAGAAACCTTACAAATGTGAAGATTGTGGTGCATCATATTCTCAATCTGACCATCTGAAAAATCACATGAGAACACATACAAGAGAGAAACCTTATCAGTGTGATGAATGTGGATCGTCATTTTCTCAGTCTGTTGATCTGAAGTCACACAAGAGAACACATACAGGAGAGAAACCTTACAAATGTGAAGACTGTGGTGCATCTTTTACTAAATCTGGCAATCTAAAGACACACAAGAAAACCCACATAGGAGAGAAACCTTACAAATGTGAAGATTGTGGTGCATCATTTTCTAAATCTGACCATCTGAAAATTCACAAGAGAACACATACAAGAGAGAAACCTTACCAATGTAATGAATGTGGTGCATCTTTTACTCAATCTGGCGGTCTAAAGATTCACAAGAGAACACATACAGGAGAGAAACCTTACAAGTGTGATTTGTGTAGTGCATCTTTTGCCATATTTGGCACTCTAAAGACACACATGAGAACACATACAGGAGAGAAACATTACAAATGTGAAGATTGTGGTGCATCATTTTCTAAATCTGACCATCTGAAAAATCACAAGAGAACACATACAAGAGAGAAACCTTACCAATGTAATGAATGTGGTGCATCTTTTACTCATTCTGGCAGTCTAAGGATTCACAAGAGAACACACACAGGAGAGAAACCTTACACATGTGATGAATGTGGTGCATCTTTTACTCAATCTCACTGTCTAAGGATTCACAAGAGAACACATACAGGAGAGAAACCTTACAAATGTGAAGATTGTGGTGCATCTTTTACTAAATCTGGCAATCTAAAGACACACAAGGGAACACACACAGGAGAGAAGCCTTAGAAATGTGATGATTGTGATGCATCATATTCTCAATCCAACCATCTGAAAAATCACATGAGAACACATACAAGAAAGAAACCTTACTAGTGTGATGATTGTGGATCATAAATTTCTTAGTCTGTTGATCTGAAGTCACACAGGAGAACACATACAGGAGAGAAACCCTATAAATGTGATAATAATGATGCATCATTTTTCTAAAGCTGACCATCTGAATTATCATAAAAGAACACATACAGAAGAAAAACCTAACAAGTGTGATTTTTGTGGTCATTTTTTACTCGGTCTGGTAAATTAAAGAGTCACAAGAGAGCACACACAGGAGAGAAAACTTGCAAGTGTGATGATTGTGGTGCATCTTTTACTCAGTCTGGCCATGTAAAGATTCACAAGAGATCACATACAAAAGAGAAACCTTACAAGTGGTATGGTTGTGGTGTATCTTTTACTTCATCTGACCATCTAAAGAAACATAACAGAATATATCTATATTAATAAAAGAGGTTAATTTTCTGATGTTGTAAGCTAAATGGAAACTACTGAACCGATTGCTTTCAAATTTGCACACAACATTGCCTTTGACTCCAGGCATGAATTTTTTTCAGAAAATCGCACAAACCACGAACGACGTAGCCCCAGCAACGGTCAAATCATTATTTGTTTCGTTGCCAGCCCGGATTTGTTTTTATGTGATCGGCCATATTTGACTGCTGAGCTCTTATCGAACTTTGCATTATTATATAATTTAATTTCCACTATTTGCTTGAGTGTTTGGTAGCGTAGTTGGTAACTATTCTGCCTATCATGCAGGAGACCTACTTTCGATTCCCCGCTAGGTGATATAAATTTTTTTTAGCCCTTAACTGGGTGGCTGGCACGTTGTGTTGTGGTTTATGGCTAGGCTGCGATATCTACGCCTTTTTCGGTTTTGGGGTTTACAGCTAGCCTGTGACAGTGGGGACGTGATGCTCAATGGTAATGTCATAGGTAATCTTCGTTCGCCCTCGAGAGGGCCTTTGGCACGTTGTGTTGTGGTTTACAGCTAGGCTGTGATATCTAACCTAAACTCTTCAGTCGTCGGTAGTAAAGTTGTAAGTATGTCATCCTTCTGGTATTCGATTCTTGCTGGGTGGTAATTGTTCTTTTTTCCCTAAAAGGGTGGTTGCCACATTGTGTTGTGGTTTACAGCTAGGCTGCGATATCTGCGCCTTTCCCCCAAAGACATCTGATTTCAGTTAAGTCCTCATTAGCCTCCCAGTGACGCTTCTCGATCAAAAACTATTCGGGGATGACAGAAACTGTTAACTAAGACGGCTTACAGTTTAGTTTAGTTTGGGTCGACACAGATGCCAAGGTCAGGTAAAAAATGTTACTTCGGACAGGGAGAGATGACGGGTGCGGGATATTTTTTTGCCAGGTGATGATTTTTCAGTCCTTCGCAGAGGGAGAAATGACTGCGTCGAGGGGGGGGGGGGGTATGACAGACACTGTTAGCTGAGAGCTATCTTCTTTCCTCTCCATTTCACCATTCTGGGCCACAACAACGCGTGGCCGGGTACAGCTAGTACAGAATAGAAACCTTACAAGTGTGATGATTGTGGTGCATCTTTTACTGAATATGGCAATTTACAGAGACACAGGAGAGAGACCTTACAAGTGTGATGATTGTTGACCGGGTTAGCCTTCCTGGTTAGTTTCTGGGTACATGGCAGACTCATTGTTGTGTGGTCATCTTTATTTCCCAGGTCCAGAGAGGCCACATAATGCTGATCAACCCTGAAGAGAAGGCATGGGCAGAACAAGAGCATTCCCTGCCATCCATGGTGGCTTTCACAAATGCAGAGCTAATATATGGTGCTCTGGTACTGGGCTCACCCAAGGAATTTTCACGTCCTGCATATAACTGTTTAACCTCACTTCCATATATTGAACATCTCATACATCATGGGCTATCTTTTTTATAGCCAACAGTATGCAGCCTGCAGACCTGGGATTTTTTTTACCTACACCACAAAATGAGTACTTTGCTTCTTTTGCATATAAGACTTCTACTGCAGCGGACTTCCTCATCCACTATAGTTTGACATGGTTTACAAGCTCTGCATCTATAGGGACTATCAGCTCAGAGAATCCCGGACAGTTTTATTCTTCTTATACCTTCAAATGTCAGTGGGAATATATTTAAAGAAATCAGCAGTCAACTTGAGGTTGTTGACATCTCCATACAGTTTATCCTCAAAAGTTGCGGGTGTTAGCCAAAATAATTTACTAATTTCCACAATTTATTTTTATCTTTGTCCAAGTTTAGGCTTTCTGGGTTTTTTTGACAAGTATTTCTAGTTGTTTGATTTCATGTTCTTTTGAATTTTGCTGAGATGGCTTTCAGAGACATGCTTGATTCAGTTGTTTTCTCTCTCTCTGCTGTCTTCCTGGCCTCTTCGACTTTTTCCTCAAGGATCTGCAGTTCTTTGGTCCAGTATGGTTTGTAATTTTTCCTCGCACCTCATGGCATTCACTCATATGCTGCCTGCAGTATTGCTTTCTTTAGACTTCCTACTATTGTCTTCATGTTGCCATGTAGTGTGTTTATGTTTTTACAATACTCGTCTGTCAGCAAATCAAATTTATCCCAATCAGCTCATTTGTAATTCCATCGAGGCAACGGTTTCTGCTCTTGTGGGACATAATCCATATTTACAACAAGCTTTACTGGTCTGTGATCGCTACCTGCTAACTGATCTAGTACACTGTGAAGAATATCTCCTGTGCAGAAGGCAAAGTCAGGAGTGGAAGATTTGCACCATCTTCTAGAGTAGAAGCTGGGTTTGTCTTCTGGTTTGTTAAATTAAGATTGGAGTCCATTTTCCAGTCCTACACTTCATCTCCTCTGGTGTCAGTATCTGGGTATCTCCATCTTTCTGGGCAACTATTAAAGTCTCCAACCGCAATGCAGTTTGTGTCATTTATTTCCATTCTTGAAAGTGCAAAATCTTTGTTTGCTGTGCTATATAAATCGTATATTCTGATTTTCTCCTCCCTAATCATGATATCAACGCCTATAATTTCTGATTCGTTATTTGAGTTCACAGCTACTTCACTGCTTGGTGTGGAGTTTCGAATAAATATTAGAACTCCTCCTTTGTGCCCTTCTTGGTCACAGGGTATAGCGTGATATCCTCTGACAGAAAATATATGAGGGGCATTGATGTGTGTTTCTTGGATGCAAGCGACATCAATTTTGTCTTTATGAAGACTGTTTGTTAGATAAAGTTTTTTATTTAAAATTCGACAGCATTCAACTGTAGTATGTTGAATGTCCTTGATATTTGGTCAATAGTTTTTACCCTAATGACCTGTGTCTTGACTCCACAGCACAGGGGTAGGTGCCCATCAGTAGTGTTTGGTGGATCCCTTCAAGGCAAGGAACCCGGCACTATCTCTTCTTCTTCTGCGTTCGACATCAGTCATGCTTAACATTGAGTCCCGTCTGGGTCACAAATAGGAATGTGCGTTTAAGGTTGCCACCGGTCCCCCATAGCTTCTCTTGCAATGTGGCTCCCTTGGCCAGATCCACAGTCTTTGCTGGGAGAGGTTAGGGCAGTGCTGCAGTATGTTCTCAGGGGTCTGTCTTTCTGCTCCACAATCACAGGCAGCAGATTCTTTTATGCCTATCCTGTACAGGTGTGCTCGAAGACCACAGTGTCCAGTTCGAAGTCTAAAAATTGATGTTTGTTCTTTTCTGTTGAGTTTGTTTATGCTGTCACTCTCTGGTCTGTAATCTCCATTCTGCCTTCTCCACTCCAGCTTGAAAGACTACTTTAGCGCTGTTTTGGTTTCCTTGTAGCTGTGTGATGGATGAGGTTGTGGGAGATTACTCCGTTTTTGTCAACACATCTGCTCTCTCATTTCCGTAAATACCACAGTGGGCTGGTATCCACTGCAAGACCAGTTCTGCTTCCTTGGAGAGTAAGCCAATGTTGGTCCTTAGATCTCCAATTAGTTTGTCTTGTTTTTGCTTGATAATGCTTGGAGAACAGACAATGAATCACTAAGAAAAACAATTTTGTGCCCTCTGTGCTCTTGAGTGATTAGATGTTGGACTGTAAAAAGGAGGGCAGTTGCCTCAGCTCTAAAGTTAGTGCAGATGTCACCTGCTGGTAGAGAGAGAGTTTCTGCTCTACTGCTAGGGGTTTAATGGATATTCCACAATCCGCCTTTCTGACTGCATCTGTAGTAGAGCTGTCACTGGAAACCTGGGTCCAAGTGGTGTTGGGATACTTCTCATCAAGCATAGCAAGAGCCAGGGTTCTCTGTTGTGTCTCCGTCTGGGCATCTTTTGAAGTGATCCCTGGTACCTTTAGGACTACATTTGCTTTCTCTGGCTTGCTTGTCCATGGTTCTGGCCTAAGTTTTTCGCACAGTGCAACATCTCTTTCAAGCAGATCTTGGTGCTTGTCTGAAACAGTTCTCTTGCAAGGTGGTTGGAG